CTATAAAAGTAACTGTGAGGCCAGCTTGTGGCATGATGGTTAAGGTGGCTGGATCCCACATGGGCAATGGTATGGTTTGAGTCCTGGACCCAGTGGTCTGAAAAACACACAAGACATGTATGTATGCATACCCAAAATCCTGAAAGGAGAGTGAAATGGTGGAGAAGAAATTTAGTGGCATGACCATCCTCCATGGGAGTGAGGAGTGCTTTCTATCTCTCTCTGTTTCTCTCTGGAAAGCACATGTATGCTCTGGCCAAAACAGCTTTAAATAAATAAAAATAAATAAATAAATAAATAAATAAATAAATAAAATGACTGAAAACTTTGAAACATAAGATGATTGGGAAGGATGGGAGTGAAAAAGGAAGGGCAGAAAGTTAATACCATGAAGACTTACCAGGTAATCAGGTGAAAATACGTGTGTTAAAATAATAGTATTAGGAGCCTTTGTTTTTCATTTAAAAAATTGCCTCTATTGTTGCTACATTATTTCATCAAGACACAATAACTCAAAATAGTTTTTTCAGTAATTACGTGGATAATATTTCACGATATTATTTAGTATTCTAAAATGACTTCTACCAAACCAGTTTGGATACGTTGAAAGGCACGAAGAGTTAATCTACATGGTCAGAATTGCTATTTTAGATGCTGTTTTATGTACATTTCTAAAAATGGTACCTCCTGGTAACCAGAATGGTCAGCACTTTTTTAAGCCAAAGCTTTCTGGCCTGGGGTTGACCTTGATGAAAGTAATCAGGCCTCCTTCATTGAAGTTCAAAACAAAACCACCCATCACCCCATTTTAAAGAGCAAAACCACAAGCCACAGGCTTCAGTTATGGTTGGGGGAATGCTTCAATTTCTTGCTTCCTATTGATAAGTTGCAGCAAGGTCTCCCTTAATCAGGCGTGAAAATAGAAACTGGCTGCCTTTTGGGTTTAAAGAAACGTAAGGAGAGAGAAGGACTCACAGGAAAATAACCATAGAGAAACTGGCTCACTCTTCCTGTTTCGGGGGGGATTCTGTAGCATCAGACAGTGGTGGAGAACTCTAGACCTTGAGTCAATTTGAAGCTAAGCTCAGGGGAAGAAGGCCAGGTACAGACCTATTTGCAATCAAAATGGGGGAGAGGGTCTGTTGTGAAACGTAGGTCCAGGGAACCCAGCATTTCTGGGTGAATGGAACATCCAAAAACACTTTGTATAGTTTTTATCAGGCATTCAGAAACAGAGAGCCATCTCTCTGTGTAGGTAAAAAGCCAACTAGTTTTTGTGAAGCATTCAACCACTGTATACTTTTAACATACCTGTGCAACATGAATATTACTAATAAAGACTGTGCGTGGATTTCCAATTTATACCACAGTAAGCTTGTAGTCCATTTTTTCATGCACCTTTTGAAGTTTCCTGAATACTGCTGGTCAAAAGGCCACCCATAAAAGACCAGTGTGTCATGGAAGGCACATGCCATTCACACAGAAGGAGCTTCCATCAAATACTGACTGCAACTCACCAGCTATCAGACTGTGGCTAGGTTACTTTATCTCTCTAAACTTCAAGTTCATCCTCTGAGTACAAAACAAAACAAAACAAAACAAAAATGGGTATGATTTGTCTAAACCATCCATTGGCACAGAGTAGGTGCTCAACAAATATTATCTGTAGTAAGGCCATAACATAGTAGACTCATCAGTATTATATAGAGTATATACTGTGTATATACATGGATGTGTATATACAGGAGAGATGTGTATACATACACGTAGATCTGTATATCACACGATAGAAATAGTTGGCTATAGAATATGACAAACTCAAATGTGTATTATGCCACCCACTTGTGCATCTGTCTAGGAATTTTCCCAAAAGAGTAGTCAAAGAATCAAGATTAGTATGTCTAGCAAGGGAAATGATCCGAAGGGATTGGCAAGGTCTGACTGAGTGTGTTCAGGGTGAAATGGGTAGAGGAAGCCTGGCTGTTGTTATGGGGCCTCAGTTCATCTTCAGGGAACCTAAGAACTTTTGATAAAGTTGATTAGGGCATTGTATGTCATGAGGGATCCTTCAGCTCCATGACATAAATTCCTTTCTAGCAGGGACTCTGGGGGAGGGGAGGGAGAGTTAACCTTAAGCTTTGAATTTCCAGAATGTAGAATTCACTATATTCTCTGAATGAATGTGTTTAAAAAATGAAAACGACCTACATGACTTAGGGAGCGGCTTGACTTCAGAGAATCCTCATCTCCCTGTATCAAATGCCCACTGGTCTGAGGCAGGACCTACTTGGAAATCAACAGACGTCTTAGGCAGTGCAAGGAAACAGGTGCCCAACCTACACCCACTTGATTCTCTTTGGTGATTTGGATACCACTTTGGTTGATGATTCTCCAATGTCCTCTTTACCCTGGCTTACCTTCCACTCTCACCACATGCCTACAGCTTAGCCAGAATCAAACATAAAGAATGACTTTCAGGACAGTTGGTAGCCTGGTGACTAAGGTGGCTAGACCTCATTCACATGGCTGACTATGGTTCAAGTCCTGGACCCAGTGACCTGAAATACATCCTGGGTGTGGTGTGTGTGTGTGTGTGTGTGTGTGTGTGTGTGTGTGTATGTGTTGAAAGGAGAAATAAAGGAAAAAGGATTGCAGTTTAACCATCCCCTATGGAGAGTGCTTTCTCTCTTTCTCTCTTTCTTTCTGGGAAGCTCACATGTTCTCTGACCAAAGGAAAAAAAAAAGTTACTACTCTGCTCAACCTGAGACCTTCAGATAGTACTTTTTATAGAGGATTTTGCTATAGGGCACATGCGCTCGCCAGATAGAGAGAGAGAGACAGAGAGACAGAAAGCAAGAAATCACCCCCCAGGGGGGATGGTCACGCCACAATCCCTTCTATTCCATTCTCCTCTCAGGATCTTGGGCACGCATGCACACGCGCCTGGTGTGAGTTTTAAGCCACCGGGTCCAGGACACGAACGCAGTCGACTACGTGGGAGTCCAGCAACATAGCCATTACGCTAACTACTGGTCCCCAGAAAGTACTACTTATCAGAATGTATATATTCAACTATGAAGAAGGACTGGCGTTAGTGCAAGGAAAATGCACAATCTTGAAATTAAACAGACCTAGGTGTGAACTGCGGTTCTACCAACCAACTTATAAGCTATGTGTACAAAGGCAAATTATGTAACCCCATTGAACTCAGTTTCTTCATTAAATGGGAAGTGGAGGTCACCTGGTATGTCTTTGGACACATTAGAAATTAGATACAATGTTGAAGCCCACTTAGCACAGTGAGTAACTCATGACCATTCTCAAAATGATGGACATTCTCTTTAAGAACATAATGCCTAGTCACCAAGAATCATTCTTTCTTCCAATGGTGATTTATTAAGCCTTCTATGTGATAAGAGCAGCTCAAAGCACCATGGCCACAGTTGTGAAGAAAATAGACAAATATCATAGAGTCTATATTATAGGGGATGAAAGTAGAAAATAAGAAAATAGATAAATATACAATGTGTCTAATAGTATTAAGTGTTGTGGAGAAAAACAAAGGGTAAATGGAGTGTTAATGGGGTGATACCATGAATACAGCAGCCAGAAATGTCACGTCATCAGAAAGAGGCACTATTTAAGCAGAGACCAGAGAGCAGTGAAAAAGTCTAAAAGTAAAGCACTTCATCATGAGTAACAGCAAATATAAAGGTATTGAGTGAGAAGTGTGCTTCACATGTCTAAAGAACACAAGAAGGGTAGAGTGGCTTCTAATGGATGAAGATAAAGTTCTAGAACATGAGATTAGAGGTAACTAGGGACCAGATTAGGAGAGAACTCCTTGGCTACGGTAAAACATTGGACTTTATTCAGTTAGGTGAGAAGCTCTATCAGTTAGCTTTTGCTGTGTAACAAGTAATCCTGAAATTAAGTAGCCTAAAAAAAGAAACTTTTGTTACTTTTTCCAGTTCTGGGATTGACTGAGGAGTTTCTTCTCATCTGAATGGAGAAGATCACATTCCCAGTGACTAGATTTACATCAGTTCAGGTGCTATGTGTTTCTAGTCATCTGACAGGCTAGCCCAGATTCACTCACATAATAGTGGTCACAAGGTTATGAGTAACAAGGACAAGCCTTGGTGCACAAGCGCTTCCCTGATTGGCCAAGACAAGTCACATGGCTAACGTGAGAGTTAGTTTCAGAGAGGGCCACCCAAACATGGTCACTGAAAAAAGAACGATGATGGCCACTCTTGCAAACAATCTTCTTCAGAGCATTAAAGGGTTTGGAGCAGATTCATAAAAGTTCTATGATAAGGATTTGATAAGGGAGAATATAGCCAGATGGGAGGACATAGTCAGGCTCTGAAGCACTGGAGAGTGATGTGTTTGACTGGACTGCACCACACAGGCAGAGGCCCAGAGTTCCATGATGTTGCTTAGCCTGTGTTCCATTTTCAGAAGGAGGAACAATGACACACATCCTTTTTCCCAAATTCCTGGTATTTCAGCAAGGTGTCATTCTCTCTATCTTGCCAGAGTGGACTCTCTCATGTCTTTGCTGGAATGGCCTGGACACTATGGTATGAATTGAAAGGGATAGGTTCAGAAGCCTCCAAACCCCCCTTCTAATACATGGGGGTCCTCTCTAGTCACTCAGTACTTGATGATTGCAGGGGGAATGAACCATTGAGGACCGAAATCCAACTGTAAGTAATAACAAAACATCTGAAAGTACAATGAAATGACAGTCACCTTTCTTCTTTCTTTCTTTGACAGAAAATATGATGCTGGCATGCTAATCGCGTGAGACAACTTGGCCCACAGACAGCCACAAAGCACAAAAACAAAACAGACTCAGAGAAGAAGCAAGAACGGTGTTTTCCTGGCGTCTACAAGAAGCGCTTTATTTTTCCTCTAGATTTCTTTTCTAAAAAATAAAAACAAAAACAAAAAAACTGAAACAAACACTTAATGAGACAATACAAACTTCAGGTGATTATATGCAAGCATGTTCTTTTATTAAAGCATAAGATGGAGGAAGCTGAAGCAGAATGCTAACATGGGGCAACTAAGCAGCTGTGAGACTCAGAGTTGGTTGTTTCTTGAAACTGTGACTTTTTACCCCTCCCCCCAAATATCCTGCATATTCATAAAGACACAAGGTCTCCTTTCCTGCCTGTCAAGGAATCTAGGGAATGTTTTGCAAAATTTGTTTGCTATCATCGCTAAAGGAATTTTTTGTATAGCTTTGGCAAGGGAGTCCGTTTCTGGAACTTGTGCGACCCAGGGGCCCGCCTGCTCCACTCATCTCTGAGCCCTGTGGCCATTCTGGCTGGCTGGAGCAGGTTCTGAGATTCTTCTGCCCAGGAGTTGCCCACCTGCTCGGATTGCTCAGAATGGATGAAACAACCATCTCCTGGCCCAGGGCAGAAGCAAAGGATGGACACTTGTGCTTTCTTTCCTAAATAGGGCTTCAGCGGTGGACATGGTGGTAGCTGGGTGGGACCTGGGGTTGCCCGCCTATTCTAAGAATGAGAGAAAATTGCTTGTGCTTCCACCATGAGAGAAGAAACCCACATCCCAAGCAAGCTTTTGTTTTTAAACAGGCCACCACCAGAAAGCAAGGGACCCATGCCTAACCAGTCCTAGGAAAGCTATACGGTCCCTCTACCCCTAAACTCCCTGGCTCCATCGGTACTTAGATTTTCCACTCCGCTGGGACTTCTCTTATTTCCTTAACTCTTACGGATTAGTGTTGGAGGGATGTGGAAACCCCATGGATGGTAAGGGTGTAAGGGGCCCAGTGTTGGCGGGTGTGCGAGCGAGCACATGTGGGCTGAGTGTGTGCACGCTTCTTGCTCAAGCTCCCACCTAGCTGGGCTGGCTGCCCAGTCGCTCTTGGATCAACCTTTCGCTCAATGCCCACAGTGCCCGGGCCGTCTCTTCACTCTGAGCTTCTGCAGACGGCATGCAGCGGCAGCAGTTGTTGAAGTACATCCCTCCCAGGCCCTCCAGTTCTGGAGCAGTGGCACAGTAGATGGTGGTGGCAGCTCCCTGTTGCTGGAAAACAAAGAAAACGACAAAAAAAAAGTTTTTTTGTTTTTTGTTTTTTTGTTTTAAGAAAATGGGTGATGGAATGATTTCATTCTGACTGAGAATTAGCGAGTTTCCCCCTACCTGGCGCAGTGGTGATGGATTTCAGCATGGCAAAGGGTTCTGAACTCAAGCGCGTGACTGTAAAAGGTATGATGTGACCATCCTGGAAAAACGAGTTCATAAACCCTGCTCATAAAGCTGGTGTGACTTTTTACACCTCGTCTAGGAAAAGGCTTCGAAAATAAATACACATAACAATAAATAACGTCCAGCGCCTCTTCTGCACAAAGAAAAAGATGGTATCCTTCTGAATATGCAAGGACAAAGTATCCAAACCCTTGACTTCTCAGTGTGTAATGTGACACCAAGATGCTTCTAGAACCTTCTGCCTGGATTAAACCAACCCCTCTTAATTATGGCCCATCCAGTAGAAAACCCACTTGGAGTTGGTGCCAGATCGTTCCTGTATTCTTTGCCCAAGGTGCTGCTAGAAAAAGGGTCTGCAACGCTGTGTTAAGACCTTTAACACACACACACACACACACACACACACACACACCTACACAAACGCCCCACCACACATAAATGCATGTCTCACACAGACACGTGATACATTTATTTCATTCACCCAGACCCTATGAATTCCTTCTGTAGAATGCCCTAGTTGCCTGGATTTACGATGGGACAGTAGTCAAGGGGGTACTTTTTCTCCCAGCCCACTTCAAAATGCGAGTTGCAGCGAGTGCAATGGATCACTTTCGATTCACCTTTCGGGTAGCAGTTGGGGCTGCGGCTAGGGATGGGTGGGCTGATGGGGCACCATATCATCCAGACTGACAGAATCTGTCAGGGATGCTGTAAAGAGGGCAAGAAATCACTTTGCTTTGCAAGCCATAATTAAAAATAATAGGCTGCTGTTCATAGGGAGACACCGTAGGCCCGGCTCTAATTTAAAACCAATACAGTTTATCTGGCATCTTATGATTATTTATGTGCATCACAGCTCTTGCTGCATCAACTAATTATCAGCTGATAGGGAGGGGGATGCCAGAGAAGACCAACAAAGGTAACTGAAGATAAGGTCGTCATTAGGAAAACATTAAGGATGTTCAATTGTAGGGGGAAAGGGTTCCCATCACTACCCAGAGCCTCTGGGTTTTCTGCACCTCAGGGTTTAATTGTGTCCAAGCAGAGTCCAGAATGGAGAAGGATCCCATGCTTGGCTTGGTTTGCACTCACACTGATTATATTCTTGAATCATTAGGAGCCATCCTGAGAACTAGGGTCCCATGGTGTTACAATTCTAGAAACTCAAGCCAAATATCAGATAGCCTTGAAAGTACTATCAAGCAGATTTAAGTTTTGGGGGCTTTGGGGATTTGTCTTGGCTTTGGTGTGTCAGGGTCTATGGTTATATTCAAACTAGTTTGAAATCTAAATGGTCAAATAGAGTCAAGTGATGAGACTGTGGGAAAGGCGTGGAGTGTGAGACAAGCATTTGCGTTTTGATGATAACTGGCTGCTTGACTCCAGTAGACCAGTCCCATTCGTCTAGAGTTTGAATAGCTGACCTGATTAAAACTTAAACTGTAATGTGTTTGTTACCTCCCCAGACCCCCTGCCAGGCCCACTCCCCAAATAGCCAGTTATCTTTTTAGATTCTGCTGTTCCTTCTCCAATTGATTTGTGTGGTTCGAGTCTAATGGAAATGAGTTGATGTCATCCAAATTTCCTTTCACTGAATTATTACTATCCCTAGGAACCCTTAGCTTAGCACCAGGAACATTCATCAAAAGACTTCTGAGTGGTTTCTCAGACTTCTCCACATCCCATATGGGGAAGAGGGAAGCATAGGTGCCTCTAAAGACAAATTGGAGAATTGAGATACTCATCCACAAACTCATATATCAGCCTGGTCTTTATTCTTAGCAGAGTTCAGGTGGAGATGGTGTTTTGCATACATTTCAGGATATCTGTCAGAGATTTCTATTTTATTTCACAGCTGCCAAAACCACCAGGGAGTGACTGGGTAACACGCCATCAACTTCCAAGTGGTGAGAGAATCCAGTCAGTTCATCTCAAAGTCCACTCTTCCTCAGCCAAACCCAGAGTGCTTATAGGATCAGTGTTCATGTAGCATGACTGACCTTTCACAGTTCCACCCATCCTGAGAAAAAAAGACCAGAAGAAGCCACTGGGGAAAGCAGAGAGCAGAATTCTTCCAGACCCAACTGTAATATTTTGCCACCATGACCTTGTAAAATGACACCACATTGCGTTCTTGCATTGCTGATATGGTGTTTTCCCAAGGGAATTATGCAGTCCCGTGGATTCAAAATGGAATTGATGAGGGAGCCAAGGGCATGCATTTTCCCTCCATGGAACCTGAAAGCAACCGCAACTGGCCTCAATTCATGTAAACCTAGATGTTGCTACTATGTTAAAAATCAGACATTTTAGAAAAGTCCAACTTGTTAGCAAAAGCTGGCTTTGATTCCTTTGCCACGAGGTTCAGGGTGGTAACTGAAGATGAAGTCTCCATTAGGAAAACATTAAGGATGTTGGATTGCAGGGGAAAAGGATTCCCATCACCACCCAGAGCGTCTGGGTTTTCTGCTCGCTTGCATCAGCGGTAGTTCTGGCTTTGTAGCAGCACACAGTGGAGGGTGGCTGCTAGGAGCAGAGCCCACCTTCTCCACTGCAAGGGTCGATGGTGCACATTTGGCAAAGGGTCCCTGTTAGATCCGTGCATGGCTTGACGGATCCTTGGTTCACTTTCCTTTCTGGTTGAGCGGTAAGTAGTGGCAGTATCTCGCTGGTCCTGTGCCCCTTCACCCCTTTGGCTCCCTGGGGAATTCTCTTTTCAGCTGTGCCAATGGCACCCTCTGAGTGACATCTTTATATGATCAGATGTGACGACAGTTTAATAACAAGTTCTCATTTTTGGCTCATCAGCTTTTCGGTCTGCATATCATCAGAATGTAACTGAGCTACATTAACGAAATCTCATTAGTAAACAAGAAAGTACTGCTGATACAAGATAAAACATTTTTAAACTGATAAAAAAAAAATTTAAAGAGCACTTTAATCACCATCAAATGACTTTCATGCCACTTTTTGGGGCATCAGTACATAATTCAGAAAAGATGAAAGAACCATATAAAGGAAATAATGTTAACAACTCCGTTATAAAATATCTGAAGCAATGACTTGCCAGTTGTCACCACTGCTTACTGATGCATTGTGATAAAATAATGATACCTTGACATATAAACACTGGCTGGAACTATGGGTTCCCCTAAATGATTTTTTCAGAACAATTCATCATTATCCTAAGCCTATAGGTTGTATGCAGTTGCTAATCACAGGAGCGAGCCGGGGGGGGGG